AAGCAGCCTTTCGTTTCATAAATAATTTAACGTTTATCGATACAGTTACTTGCTATTAAAAAATGAGAATGCTGAAATCGAAGTTCCGAAATGTGAAATCCTAACGAAAAATATTTTTCCGAGTACGTATGTATATACACTGCAGAATATTTTTACATAACACGTGTTATATATTAAATGTGAAATTTTATACGTAATTTATTATGTATAAAAAATATAATTTCTAAGAATGTAATAAAAGATAAAACTTCTACAAACGCCTCGGAACTACGACTGCTCAGTTCTGAATTATGCCATCGCCAACAATAAACATTTGATAACAGAATGTTCCGACACTTCGAGAAGAAGCTTTTGGCTTATTACGTCGAGTGGGTCGTAGCATATTTTCCGTATTGATCGAAATGAATTTTTATTATTTTCCGTTAGGACATTTGAAAAATGTATTGTAAAAAGAGTTAAGCGGGATTGCTTATCTTCTACAGATCCGTTCGTTTTCGTACTGCATTTTCTCGCCTTCTGATTCTCGACTCCTGACTGCCTTCGAGTCTTCGTTCACGGAATTGACGCTGGCAACAGGAACTGGCTGAGTATTATTATGTTTCATATTAGTGGTCGGCGACGACGCCTTCGTTGTTCTGATCGGGTTCGCGGCGTTATTAACTAAATTCGGAGGCTGGTAAGTTGCTAGACTTTTCAATCCAAGTACTTCTGGATTCTCCTTCCAAAAACGATCACCGATGATATCATCTACTATCGGGACCACTGCTGGTTTTAGCCTGCCCGTTCCATCGGGCACCAGTTTTCTAATAAGCGTAGTACCTTTGCGAAATATCGGCGGCTCGTTATTATAATTTATACCGAACTCTTGAAAAAGTAATTCGTTCTTATGAGACGCCAAAGTGCCTCTCAGTTTCCCTTCTGCCTAAAAGCGAACAAACGAATGAAACAACTGCTTCTGATATACAAGAACCGAAGGAACTGAAGTTTACCTGACTTGGAGTCAGTTTCCCTTTCAATATAAGATTCCAAAAACAAGTGTTGTATAAATTATTCACATGGACGTCTGCTTGCCGCCACGACAAATAATCCCTTAAATTCTTATCCGTGGGATATAATACAACACGCGCGTCGAAGGATGGAGGATAATATAACTCCTTCCCTTGAAAGAAATGTGGCCAGTGGTAAACGTACGACGATGCAAACAGGGAATTTACGTTTGACATCAGTTTCGAAGCTAAAATAGAAGATCAGTGTTACAAGTGGCGTTTAGACGCTCTTATTTAATTTAAATATATATTCCATGCAACGTTCACTTGTTATGAACTATTAGAAATTATTTGTTGAATCATTTCTATATATAACGGGTGGTTCACCAGATACTACCACCTCCTATTTCGTCATTTATTACTGTACATAGCATAGAATGTTTATATATAATGTTCAATGATTTCGAAAGAGCCAGATTCTGATATTACCACTGAGGCGAACCACCCTGTATATTAGATTGCGTGTATACCTCGTCTCTTGTAAAGTTCGGCGTCCTTTCGAAAGACAAACGAGTACTCGTCGCTCTGACCAAATCCTAAAATTATTTCTTTGAAATCTTCCATAACCGTGACGGCGGCACGGTTCATTAATTGCAAAGCAGCTACATCGTTCGGTTTGGTGAATTGATGCGCATCACAGAACTTAGAAAAGTTCCGGCCGTCTATTCTAACCACTATCCAACAGTTCGGTAAACAATACTCGTCGCGTTCGAATTCTTTTACATATTCGAATTTACTCTTGGCCATCCTCGTGAAACTTATGCGCCGGCTATTGACCACTTGTTCGATCGTGCCGATCTTTTTCAGGAAGCTCCTCCTTCCCGCTGCCAGAAAGCATAACATTTCCTGATACCATCGGACACCGCAGTCTCCGTCGTAGAAATATTAACTCCTATCCAGTCCGCGGAGAACACAGACCACCGAGACGTATCATTCTAACCATTCTAATCATTAACGATCGTTAATCGAGGGATAAATCGACGGATGTATTTCTATTTCAAAGTAGCCACGTGCGTGTTACACGGTTATGGACAGTTTATTATTATGTAAGGCATGCGTACGAGCTCGCGTTGGATGAAATAAAATCCTTATCAGTGAGCGATTTCTAACCTCAATCTTGTTACCTATCGCGAGTTTACCGACTTCCCCGGTGCCGATTACCACCGAAAAATAGCGATTACCGACTGTGTTTTGAACCCGATTGGGCCCCCATATTCGCTGTCTCAACGATTACTTATTACACGGGCGCTGCCGCTGTTTAACAGTATCTCCTTGATGTCCGAGTGTACTAACAACAACAATCGGATGAGTGCTGAGACTGCTGAGTGTTAACTTTAACCGTTAAACGAACGAGATGGATCTGCACGATCGTTACATGAACACCTCGGCGACGATAGACTTCTCGATCTTCGAACTGTTACACAGCGAATTGAAAAACAATCCGTTTCTATTGTTACATCGTCTGATCAGGCATTATAACAATGAAATAATCGGGGGTAATTATTTCCATCTGAGACAGTTGAACACGCTTCGAATGTTATTATGCTACGAATATCAACTCGTGTTTAATGCGAAGGAGAAGAACAAAAGAACAATTTCGAATTTATGTATTAAGAATATAGAAAATTCGTTATTGGCGAGGAGGCAATTGCGAAAACCGTTGAATGACCGTACGATTCTGTTCGATATCGTGATTTTGCAATTGACCCTTTACTGCGACACGCAATGTATCCACCGGCACTTGATCAATTTTCGGCAATCGAACGTCGACGTACTGGACGACGACGAGAGTAGGTCGCATTATTTAAAAATTCTGGAATGCTTTCTGCAGGTGTCGAAATTAAAGGCGATCCTGTATAACAACCCACGATTAAACTCGATTTGGAAATCATTCGGTTCAATGTATTTGCACGAGGTAACGTCGTGGCTGAAAGCAGAAGATACAAATAAAGAAATGCGACTGTTCGCTTCGATATTGCCAAAATTGCTGGATACCTTCGGTTCTACGTACGTTTTGCCGTACTTGTGTGATATCATTTTGAATGAATTAGATGATATAGAAGATTCGCTCAGTGCGCTCAGCATTCTAACGGATATTTCAGTAAACGTAGACGATGCAAGCCTCGCACTTCACGATTTATATTACACAGAAGCATTATGGTTTCTGATAATATCGAGTTTGAGATCTCCTGATCAGCAAAATCGTAAACAAGGAATATTTATAATGAAACTAATGACTAACTTAGATGCTATATGTGAAACCTGTTCGAATTCAGTAAAGCATGAAATCATTCCTTTTGTATGCAGCGGATCTACTGAAATAAAGATATCGATAGACGATATTAAGCGAAACTTTTTCTTAATAATAGAAGCGCTGGAAGAGAAACAGCATCACCTGATCATCCCTGCCTTGAAGCATTTGCCGATTTTAGTAGAAGGAAACAAAGTCCATTCTTTATGTAATAATTGTTTTGATAACGCTTGGGTACGATTAGTTTTCGAAAGGATCTTGCAACACGGGAATAGTGCCATAGTAAGGCAGGGGATATTGTATTTATGCGAGTTACCTATTCTCCTAGACGACGATCGCTTTCTCAGATTGTTCGTCCACACTTTGAACAATACATTCTTATACGAGTATCAGTCTGATCAACAGGAGCCAGAAGTAGTCGATGATATTGTCAAATTGTTTCTCATTTCACAGAACAAACGGGCAGAATTTCTCAGCAGAGTACTTCACATGATAGCTGAAAAGATATGGGCGCCTATACCGATATTTTACATGATGAGAATCCTGAGAATAGTTTCGAGCAAAGTAGCGAGTCGCTGGGGAGACCAAGAGTTGAACGTAGTCGCAGATTTGATACGGATGAATTTGAACATCGGTACCAAGCATAGAAATAATTTTAACGTATTGAACGGCGTGGCTCAACTCGACCTTTTGAAAACAGTCACACTATCTGTAGACAGCGTGAACAATTTGAAAAATGCGATGGACATGTTACTGGCGTGTCCTTTAACGGTATCATGGAACGTTGCAGTAACGTGGCTAAGAAAAGTATTGACACAACAGGACGCACTGAATTTTTTATGGATCGTGTGCGAAGAGTACTCGTACGAAGATCCACCTACGAAACTAAGTCCTACAGATTTTTCTGCCATCATTGTCATGTTCCATGAAACAGGTTTAATATTAGGAAAGGAAATGAATGTCTCGTTGGACATATTACGCGATTGGTTGTCTTTGTTAAAACATGCGGATGTGAGACCTTACGCAAACGTTGCGCATATATTGTACATGATAGAATTCATGTCAGAATTATTTGAAATAAGCAGCGTCGTAAAGATTCCAGAGAGTGTCAACCAGTTATTGTCTCTCTATATACATGATGCGTTGAGATTTCTAATTAGAAACACCAGAAGCATACCGTACAAATCTAATTACGAGAAAATAAATAGATATTTCGTCGCGATTACCAAAATTCTTAACGAGCGGAATAGTCTATTGTTGAACCGAGAGATTTTGAATTATGCTGCGAGGTTTAGGAATGAAAGCATAATCATTCTCGAAAATGTAAAGCACTACACGAGCCTGCATCATCTGTACGCACTAGCCATTTTGCATTACACTCAGGAAATCTTAAGCGAAACTCATGTATCGTTTTATAACGAGCCATTGTTAAGTATCTGTGATGTTCAATTGTACGACGACGTCGAAGCGAAGTTGAAGGGGACGATAGCGTCTGATCGTTGTAAGCTGCTTGCGAAGCTCGCGAATCAATTTTTGTTAAATGTAAAAGTAGAATTGTGGCCCAAAGAGATAGACTGGTTCGAGAGCGTTTCGCACCTACACGAGATGGGAGGGAATGAGATTGTGCCAGAGGTAGCATCGATTTTAAAAGCGATCGTCGACCAGGGATTGATAAAAATCCCAGAGAATAAACTGAAATTGCAATCGATTTTTACTATTATCTGGTGGAGTACTCTGATGAGTACTAAAAATTACATTTATTTCTCTGGTATGAAAAATCTCGTAAGAATTATTGTAAACAATAATTTTTTAGTAGAATCTAGTATTATGAGTTTTGTCGACAAGGTAAAATAACGACGAAGCACTGTCTACTCGTGAGATTGTTGTTCTACATATGAAAAGCATACTCAATTTCTAGTTTCTCGACGAGCTACTCGAAGAAGGCAACCACGTGCCGAGATTGAAGAAGTACTTATTAGACGAGATGAAAACGTTAGACATGTCTCACCTAAACAATTTACAAGGACCGCTATTAGCGTGCCTTCTTCACGGCGACGTACTTAGAAAAGATAAGCACATAGAAAATCAAGTCTATTTGTACATCGCTAAAAATTACGAGGACTATTGTTTGCAGAACATAAAGATAATGTAGGTATCTCTTCTACTGTACCTATTCGGTTTTATATAAACGCGTCTTATTAATATTCTCATTTTATTATTAGAGATTGTAACGACGATGTTAATGTCCGGGCGATGTCTGTGATTTTATTACATAAAATAATCAACGAAGACAAAACGTACGCATCTACATTCCTCCCTCGCGTTCTCACGAAATTGGAGGAGTACAAAAATAAACGACATTTCAGTAACTCTTATGTACATAAAATAAAACATAGAATTATGCAAATTTTACTAGTAATACAGCCAACTTTAAATAAGGTGAAAGAATATTTATTAAAAATACAATAATAATCTTTTGGAAGAGAAAGAAATGAATGTAGAATTTCTCCATAGGAAGACACTTCGACGTTACAAGAATTTCTTTGTAACGCGATACTTTTAGAAAGCAATCAACACAGCGTTCGATTAATGCAAGAGTGGATACTTATAAGGATATTTTTAGAGTACACGGAACTTCATGACAGGCTCTGGGCATTTTTCGAGAAGGTTGCCAAGCGTTATCCTAATGAAATCTACCTTTCTTTTTTATATAATGTCAGCCTTAATTAGCGATTCATCCGCAGGCTATTGCAACGCGTCCAGGGTGCGTCAGTTCTGTAATTTGCATCGCTCATCATGTTGTAAGTCTTCTTCCAAAGGATTTGCAAGGCGGTTTCATTTCCACGGGGATTAGTTATGTTACTCGTTGTTGTTTAGGACAACATTATAGTATGCGCCTTTATAGTCAGGTAAATGGTAATATATTAAATTGTAATACATTAATAATCAACGTGTTATTTGTTTATACGACAGATCATTTTTGTTAAATGGTTCGAAAAATTGAAAGAGTTAAATTGCGATCGCATTAAATTGGAAGGACTGTACCATGCTGCAAACGCGAGTTTGAGAGATGGATTATCAAAAAATGCGAACAGGGTTCAAGACGACTTTTACCTTTCAACTTTCCATGCTACGCGGCATTATACTTTAGAGGTAACTAGTTAAAATATACATGCGATCATTAAAATAGTTGCGATGCTCTGATCACAGATCGTTTAAATTATAGACAATTTATTTCGATCTACCCCGGTTATCCAATATAATTGAAAACGAATGGGTGAATCCTAATTTATTTAAAAATCTGAATTTCAAAGAGACCGATGCTCACCCTCTCCGGTTGTACAATTTCGACAGGTCTTTATCAGATACTAAAAGCTCGTCGTATTTAATCAAATCCACAGGTACTTATCATAATTAAGCTTCGCTGAAACATCACACATGATAATTAAATCGTATAAAACATTAAACAATAGGTGATACGGAAACGTCTATTAAAGATTGTAAGATAGACGTTGAAGGTATGAACGATATTCAGAGGAAACCTACTCCTTCGACTTCGTTACACGATATCTTCCCAACAATTCGAGACGCGATCTCTCATAGAAAAACGTCGAACGAGGAAGGTCTTATAGTCGTGGCGAGTCTCGTTAGCCGTGCCCCAAATTTAGGAGGGCTTGCGCGTACGTGTGAAGTTTTCAGCGTAAAAGAATTAGTAATTGCTAACTTGAATCAGATGCAGGATAAAGAATTTCGGAATCTTAGCGTGTCGGCAGAAAATTGGATAACTATCACAGAGGTAATTTACTTACAGATACCACCCCGGTTCTCATTTTAGCAGTAGTAATGCTTGGTAAATCACCCTGTATATCTAATATCTTAAACTATAACGGTTATAGTAAAAAATTGACGAATATTTTAGACAAAGCCGCACGAACTACGGGAATATTTATTGAACAAGAAAGATATGGGATGGTCTCTGATAGGAGTTGAACAAACGGCTAATAGTAAAAATATACTGCACACAAAATTCGAGAAGAAAACGATTCTAGTTTTAGGGTGAGTTCGTAAAACAGAATTGTTCGTGTAGAAAGATATAACGAAATGTTACTTACAGGAATGAAAAGGATGGGATCTCTGCCAATTTAATACCATTATTCGATGCTTGCATAGAGATACCACAAGCCGGGGTGATTCGATCGTTAAACGTCCATGTGAGTGGAGCAATATGTGTTTGGCAATATGCAAAACAACACATATTAATAGAATCCAAATTGTGATAAGTCGATGTACGATACATTATGAGACCAATTTTTTGTAAATGAATCTTTTCTAACAAAAATTGAATAAAATTGAAATTAACATTGATTAGCAAAATTTTAATTAACTTTATAAATATGTATTTATTTGAATGACTATTATACACGGATTATATGTCCACATGGATCTTAATACATGTTTATACTTTGTATCCTATGAGATGACGTTTTCCAATGCATTCTCCAACGAAGAACCAGCCTAGGACTTCGATTGCTACTAGTGAATTCAAAAAAGCTTCACGAACGGAGAGTTGAAGGTATCGTTTGTTCTTGGCAGAATTGACTAGATTATTGATACCACTTCTTATAGCAGGAATGTCGGATATCTTCGGTGGAACTAATTCTACTTTTGCGTAATGAATACAACAACCAAGCATAGGCTTGACTTTTGCTAAGAGACCTGTAATAAATGAATTAGTGTTCACATTTCTAGTCTGGTAAATAACATCTCTGGATGAGTAAGATTGCATAATCTTTAGAACATTGACAGAAGTATTCTTCAGTAATTATATATGTACGAATGATTGTAATATAAGGCTATGATAAGAATATAATTCAGATACAGAGAGAATGTCTGTATT